AAGGATGACGGAACTTACTACTGAGCGGGCTCGGTTTTCCAACATTAGGCTTGATAGCTCTCTTCGTGGGGAGGATGATTGGCTGCGTCCTGCCTGTGCAGACGCATGCTCTTTTGAGGCCAAAACCTTTCTCAGTCATGTTTGGCCTTGTGGGTCTAGCAGTTTGATGTGGAGATCTTGGCATGGCCAAACTTGCAAGGAACTCTCGAGCCAGTTGATCTCTGCAGCTTCTGAAGTATCAAGCCGTCAAGCGTCATACGAACATTTTTTTCCGCAATTTGGAGTTGTCATGCCAACGTGACTCCTTCCTTTCCGACGTGGCAGGTCCCGACCACAATTTAACCAGCTGTATTCTCATAATGTCCTTCTCAGTACTCGCAAACCATGCGACTTTAAACCTGATAGTCGATACAACATGGCCATTCGCTTCGCCTCCCGAAGCACAGCGCTTTGTGTTGAGGTGTCTGAGCAGGAGGCAGCGGTATGTTTCCCAGCAACCGTGAGCTTTTTCGTGAAATCCGTCCGCAGGCGGCCCCGCTGAAATCCAGAAGTCTGGTAAAGTGGCAAGATTGTGGTGGCCTCAAGGAGCTGGTTGGCACTTGGCAGCCTGTCTGTCAGAGTTGAAATTTTTGGAATGCTGTGAGAGGAAGAGGCTTTCGAGCTCTATCCAGACTGCGGCTTTGATGCAGCTCTGGCCTTCTACCGGCACAAGCCTCCATGGACCGTTGCTGAAAGCTCTCGAACTGTTCTGAGCACCGGATACAGTATCTGAAGAGGACAGCACCGTTGCTGGTGCCGCAGCTGTCGCAATTCCCAGGCAGCTCAGCTGTTCTTGAAAGAGACCAATTGACTTGGCCTCCATCAGTTTGGCGCCTGGCAGGAGAGACCCTCTTTGCCATGGCCCGTGTAGGGACCGCTTTATTCGGCTTTTTGACATGTAGTGGATGACAATTCCGACTGAGACAGGACTTCAACGGTAGTTTTCTGTCCCCTGGCAAACTTGGCCAGGGAGGTCGTGGCCTGCTTGCAAGGCAGGACATGGTGGGGAAATGTATAGCACTTTTCTAGGGCCTTTCCTTGATGAGCAGTGTCAGGCAGTCACCGTGGTCTTGATGATTTTGAGTCTCGGCATGGATCCAAGCTGCGTCCTCGCATATGTCTGGCCCACAGCATCGTTAAAGACAGCCTTCATCAGGAACTGATGCTTCGAATCGAAGGTGATGCAACAGCTCCTTGGATGGAGTAGGGCTTCGCCAAAAGGCTCAAATTTGGCCATGCCTCTGTGTGTCCCATCGAGGATGCTGTGGTACTCTTAATACTGGAGTTCACTGACCTGGGTGCTGCCGAAGCTTCGCAGCTCGCGGCGGAGGAAGTGGCGCGGACTCTGCCCTGAAGCTGCAATGGTCGTCGTTCGGGGAACAACAGGGTTTGTGGCAAACCATGCTACGAAAAGGGGAGGAGTTTGAGGAGATTTTCAAGGTCTGATACTGAGGAGCTCCCTTGGGCAGCCGCTTGGTCTCCGATCCGAGAAGCCGCTGCCGGCTCCTGGGCAGCAGTTAGCCGCTAGCCCAAACGAGGCTTAGCGACAGGGTGGGGAAGGCGTGCACAAAGAATTTCTTGCCTCCCGGAGCTCTGAGGAGCTTTTCGCTCATTGGGGATGGTGTTCCTGGGATGCGCATGGCGTCGGTGTCAGAGCAGAGCACTTGGAGGCGCCAGACTTTTGAAAGAGGACGGGACGCCATGCTTCAGCCTTCACCATGAGACCTCACCTCCTTAGGCTCAAAAGCAAATCGTGAGGCCATGGCAGCGAAGCACCGTCCGCCGTGGCTGGTTCTTGACGATGGCTGGCAGGAGGCCCGGCCCAACTTCAACCGTGTTAAAACCCTGCTTCTGCAGCTGCATGTTTTAGTTCAACCTCATGGCGATTGCGGTTGTGGCTTCAACTCCAGATCCCAACCACGTAAAGACCAAGAGCAGCAGTAGCAATTCAGAAGGGGTGGGTTTTCGTTCCGCAGGATGTCGAACCGGCAGAGTGGCGGAGATGGCTCGGGGCTTGGTTGGGATGTCCAGGGTGTCCAAAACAGGGGAGGCACAGCAGGACCTCACGGGGCCTCAGCTCCCTCCGAAATCAGCACTGATGTGCGAGGCTTTGTCGGAATGCTAGGAAGGACTCGGAGTCATTCTTTTTCAGATGCTTCGCTCAAATGTCAATCTAATGCAGCTTACGTGCCCGTTCAAATTCTGCTTGTTGTCGTGTCGACCAACATCCCCATGTTTGATTCTTGTGGAGCTTCTCCAGGGGGCCAAACCAGAATCATCGCATAACTATCATCATCACAACAGGCATGACCAGTCATGATCCTGGCAAGAGTTGTAATCATGACTCAGCAAGTTACGGTTATTTCATACATGCATTGCAGAAGGCCCGTGAATCTGGAGGCTGCACACTCCGCAGAGCCGCTCCCTGGCGCGTCCTGGCTTCGGGTCACTGCAGGACACCTCACATTGCGTCTTCATGCCTCAGCAATCGGGCACGAGTGCTAAAGTAGGGTCAGTGGCTTGGGGCTGTCATTGTGGCAAGGATCTGGTCAGAACTTTGCGGAGCTCGGGTGTTCTGTCTGCACAAGTGAGTCCATTAGGTTCTGGTGGGCTTTCCTGCTATGTGGTATCAGCAAATCCCAAATCCATCTGTAGACCCTGCCTCTGCGGCTGAGCTGGTTGCGCCACAGATCATGTTTTGTTTGATTGAAGCTCTCCAAGCCCTTGAAAGTTGACTGAACGTCCTAGACAAAGAAAGGAATAATACCCTGTTGTGCCCATGCGCTTGTGGATGACAGGTTCAGCATTGCTTGTTTGGCACACGTGGCTTGTCTGCCATTTGAGTTTCTGGTTTAGTATTCTAGTCGCGAGAGTAAAAGACCGATTCCCAGAAACCGAACATATGAAAGCCAAGGTTGCTTGGCTACTGGGGAGGCGTGGCGGACGGCCGAGGCGCTAAAGGTATTTTGTTTGACTACTTCTCAGAGTCTCACGCAGCTTCAGCCCATATCAACACACCGGCTTGCTCATGTTGCATGCTGTCACTCTCTGCAGCCCTTCTAGTATATTATAGTATGTTTACTATAATATTTTAGATTATACTAGAACACATTATAGTATATAACAGAGTATATTCTAGAGTATGTTAAGTTGCTCAGGTTTCGCTGTTGGCCGCCGGCGGCCTCTCTGGCCGTCTGGGCTTCAGGCTGACCGCATGCGCATGTCATATTGGGGTTTCCCAAACTAGGGGTACCGTTTTTGGGGGTTCCCCTATAAGGATCATAGGATTTTGGGGTCTGTATTGGGGTCCCCGAATCCCCCCATTTTAGGAGGCTGCCAGATGTTTTGGGTTATTCATGCACATGGAGTAGTTTACAAATTTCGGGCCCCGCTTTGGTATGTAAAAATGGTGGATGCCGTGCCGTGCTACACTGAAGTTCGTACAGAAGCAGAGTCCTGAGAGCGTTTTCCGGTCCGAAGGCTGGCTGCCCAAGCGAAGTTGACGTTTGGGATGGAGATTTCTGCACGCTTGAGACAGAGGACCACGGGGTAAGACAGGGCAGGTGCACATGTCAGGTTTGTCGGGAATTGTCTCCAGCAACCAGCGGCCATTGCTCTTTTGTACGGCGCCTTGACGCTTTGGAGCAGCTTGCCAGGATGACATGGAGAAATTCTATGCGGAGCCTCAGTCGCCTTTGCCTTTTGAATGGCATTTTGTGGCGTGCAGCGAATTCTAAACTCGATGTTCTCCAACCTCAGTCCAGCCTGGACTTTGGCTGTGGTGCTGGATACTTCCCGTAAGCTCTGAACATTCAATCATATTGAATCCGAGAAAGCTAAAGCTTCTTGCTCCATGCTGTGCGAGAGTGATGGTTTAAAGCATCCTTGATCTTTCTGCAGTACCAGCTTGTTGTAAAAGATCCGATGTCTCAGGACTTCTACACTGCTTTGGGCGATGCCGGGGTCGCAGGCGTTAAGTGCGACGGCCAGTTTCTTCCCGAGGCCAGGGGTTGGAGCACAGCCACAGGGGCTCTGTGCGAGAGTCGCTGCCGCACAGGGCTTGAAGCTCGTCATTTGCTGGAAGTCAGTGCTTGTCTTCTGCAAGGTTGACTGCGCCCAGTGAGAACACTAGGGGACATCGTATTACAACTTCTGACACCACATGCAAGCCGAGCAGTGCGCAAGTGTCAGTAACCCGCCCCAGACTGCCCAGACTGCTTGATCCTCAAGCTGCGCAGGTTCTGATTGGCGCTCGGCGTGCTGCAAAGCTTGCAGAGATACAGGCTTTCGAGCCACCGGTAGCATTGCTTTCCTTCATGATACGAACTCAGTCTACTTCTTCATGGTTTTAGAGCTTGCATTTCTGGCGTCTTTGGAGGCCGCTGCTGCCAAGGCCCTCGAGGGTGGTGCACCTTTGCCGCAGCAGAGAAGCCGAGCACATAGCAATGCATCAAATGAGAAAGATGGCAGCAAACATGGTCATATCACCTCACACAGAAGTCACATCAAATCGTAGATTCACAGCTGGACTCGAGGAGTTCATGTCATTTGCTGTTTTATCAAGGTCATCAGCTGCATGGCCATGACGCTTCCCTGCGTTCATGGAGGATCTGCAGTGCCTGAAGCCTGCACAAGCATCTGTTGGAAGACAAAACCTAGAATGATAGTTGTAATAGCAATAGTAATAATAGTCATAATCGTAGCAATAATAGTAGTAAGAATGGGCTACTATAATAATAAGAACAATAATTATTATTACATATTATTACAATGATTACCACTATTACTATTACGATTATTACTAGATCGGCACTGGAGGCAAGCTCATTTTCTCTCTTGACCCTTAACTGTTACCTGGACCAAGGCATCGATGTCACGTCACTTTTTGTCAGCGGTTGCGTAGTCGCATATTGCTGGACGTGAGCAGAACGATTTTGGGCGTACCGAACCGTTTAGGCGTTTAGGATCGTTTAGGTAATTTGAGCAGGGCTGCCGCATGGAAAAACAATCTTGTTTATGTGGAGCTCTGCTGTTCTCTGCAGATCCTCACGTGTGCGATGCCAGGTGCTGACTCGTGTGTCCGATGATCATGCTTATCCAGGTGTTGCGGAAGATGCAAGGCTGGCAAAAGGATTAAGTAGGCAGATGGTGACAAATGCGTAGGGGGTGGGTTGGGTTGTTCCAGATTCATGATGTGCCTGCACAGAGCGGTCGACGGCCTTGTCCTGCTTTGACCTGACGTTAGAGGTCGGTTGCGCGTCACATCTGGCACTGTGCTTCGAACTCTCTATGGCTTGCGCCCTTCGTGCACTGCGACTGGGACATGCACCTTTGTCACGATTTGGAGTCAAAGTGCTCGTCCAGGCCCTTGTCAGTGCTCGTTGCTCGAGGAAGCCCACCTCTGTAAACGCCAGTCAAGGTCAGGATTATCTTGAGTTTGGTTTCTTGTAGCGAACTCGGGTAGGAGTGATCCTGAAGTGACATGAAGTTACCCCAGCCAGCTGATGGAGTGCAGGCACTAAATGTTTGCCGTCGCAGACAACAGACACAGCTCTTCACCCTTTTCCAGCCAACCCTGGATAACTCCTGTCTGGGGATTGGTTGCAGCGGAGGCTGAAGAAAGGGGAGCCTACATGTGCAGCTTCATGTCTAGTAAAACGACCTCTGTGGAGCTGCAGGCTGTAGGAACTAGGAACTGCTAGAGGGGGGTCATCTTGTTTTAGCAACCCAGAGGCCGGGTACCCCTGCCTGCACGCCACCCTCCTGTCCTAGGCTGAAGACGGGGGAGTGGCATGCGGCCATCCACGCAGTGGCGCGCGCCGTGGCTGGCTGCCCGGCAGCTCGGCGCAGGGAACGGCGAATCCCAAGACAACACTTGCGAGAATCAATCGGGCAGCCATACCATGATGGCGCAGACCAGCAGACAACCAACTTTGGTGATTCAAGCAGGGCTCTGTCCTTGCTGCACCCTTCTGCAAGCAAGGACGTGCACAGAAGATCTCAGGTCTATGCCAGTGACACTGCCGATAGCTTCAACGGCGAGGTGGGAAGCAAGTCAGCGATTGCGAATCTTCGCGTGCAAGGACCTTCTGCAGTCCTTGCCCTTGCAATGCTCTTGCTTGGAGGTGTTGGCTCCCTTGCTCCTCCCGGATGGGACTGGGCGCGTGGTTCCCTGTGAGGCAGTGCTGCATGTTCACTGCATAGTGCCGAGTAGAGCTCGCAGCCTTGCAAAGGCACGGAGACAGCCCTACTCAAATGACAATCACCTGACCCTGTGTGACTTGCACTCTCGAACCCGTTGAACCGAGTCGGTGGCCGTTCCCATCGAACGCCATGTGTTCCTCGACCCGCTGAGCCAAGCAGAGCTGATGTGGCTGTGGAACCGAAGTCGCGGTGGGCCCTTTGGCTTCAGGTATCTTGAGGTCGTATTCGGTGGATCCAGGCATGCCAGTGCTTTGATGTGGCAGAGGACCGTATCAAAGTTGCCGTTCACTTTGCAGACCCTGGCAAAGGCATATCGCAGTGGCTTTCGGCCTTTGCGACACACAAGGGCAAATAATGCGTTCTACCTTGCAACTTGGGCGCAATTTCGCATGCTCAGCTGGGACCACTTCTTGTGCAATATGTGCTGCAGAGGTATCCGTCGGATGTGGACGAGGAGCTTGTTTCACTGCTGGAGCTGTGTGGGTCAGAGCTAGATGCAAAGGAGCCAGACAGCCATGCCTGCCTTCAAGTAGACCTCCACGAACATGGGCATGTCGCTGAACTCACTGCGGAAGGCTTCGGGAGTGCATGCTGGCTGGATGCATGTTCTGCGCCTGCTGGCTAGGCTGGGATGTGCAGCTGCATTTCATGGGTTTCGCTGTGGTAGCCCCTGGCCGAAAAGATGGAGCAGCAGAGCACATGATCCGTTTGGGCGCGAACAGCCTAGGCTTTGGCACCAATTCTTTCATTCTTTGGCCATCGAGTAGCCGTGTTTGGCCTTGCCTGTGCCTCAAAGGTAATGCCAGTATAACTGACCTAACAGCCAGTTTTAGGCTGGGAAAGCGTCTTTCATTGAGGCCGGTGTTTGGAACCCGACTGGGACGTTGGCTGAGCTTCCCCGCGCTGACAGTGATGGTTCCTAGCCTACTGAGAGTGTTCAAGCCAGCTGGTGGGCTCCTTGATCTAATGGCAGCCCCGGGCACTCCTGCAATTGTGCTCAGGATTGAAGGTGTGTTTGCTCGCTGCTGGCCGGCTGCTCCTCGGATGAAACATGATGGTTTCCCTACTGTAAAAAGGGACACCCCAACGTAGACCCCAAGATACTAGAGTCCTTATTATGGGGAACCCCAAATGTAGAGAAACCCTCCATAAGCCCGGGCATGGCACGGCTCGCGAGGGGCTCCGCGTGTCGGTGGGACGTTTCTGAGTTCCTGCAGGTTGATCTGGAGTGAAACCGACCTGGTCGTAGTGGATGGTGGAGGACGTACTGTGCTGCTTAGCAGAGCTGTGCGGGGTGTCTCAAGGCTGGGGGCTATCGTTAGAGAAGTCTTAGGGATCATGCTGAGAGTGTGGAGATAGTTCAGAGCTATGCCAGAACGCCATAAAGTTCCGAAATGATCAGTGCACAGGTGCAAGCCAGTGTATCTGCATGAGTGCGAAATGATCACACGCACATGATGACAGAGAGAAATATGCCATGTCCAGAAAAGAAGTTTGAAAGTACTTGAGAAAAAACACACGGGGACGTTGAATGTCCTTGGTGCTTGAAGTCCACAAGCATCGCATACGTGCGCTGTTAAGTGGTATTGAAACACAACATCTAAAACCTCCAAGCCCAAATCCTATTTACTAGGCCCCTGAGCCCTAAGCCCAAAGCCTTGAACCCCAAACTCCTAAACCCCTAAACGTGACATGGATCCCGGTCTTGCCTGCAAAAGCTAGCCCTGAAGCTCTTAAGAGCCGTCATTGATATTATTGGATTTAGGGTTGGGGGTTTAAAGTTTGGCGATTCTTGAAGTGCGCGAGGGATCCAAAGCTGAATTTCTGAATTAAAGCAGTGGAGCTGCATCTCAGGAAACTGCAGCCAGGGCTGAATTGTGCCACGGCAGCAGCCGGAGCACTGTGATAATTCCGATTATTTCAGTGCATCGTATCGCAGCGCTCCAGAGACTCTTAAAGCTGAGCTTGCGGCTGAGATCCAAGGCATAGAAGTGCTGGAGCTGCACGTGGTCTTGGCTTTGCCACCCTAGGTTGGAGAGTTTAACTGCATCATTGTCCCTCCACAAAGCGGGAGGGCTGCAGCCAACAACTGATCAGGAAAGGTAGGAGCCGGGCATGAGCTAAAACTTGCTTCCACCGTAGCGCCAGAAGGAGCCGGGTTGGAGCACTTGTGTATTAGTGCATTGCTGGCTGCCGCTACCTTGCATCCATTAGGCCAAGATATCGCTTGGTTTATACAGTTTTCTCAGCCTGTTCCAGAGTGCTGCATGTTTCCCTATTAGATGTTATGCAGGCCCTTAACATGTGGATTTTGAAATGTCTCCGAAGACATCATGCTGCGTGGGGTTGTGGGTCTCGTGGGTTCCCCTACTACCCTACCTACGCTACCCCTCCTACGTTTCCCCTGACATGCCAAGAGCTTGAAAATTGAACCTCAGAACTGTGAATGGTTGATGGATCAAGTTGTGGAGAATTCATTGGGTACAGGTGCTCTGCGCTTTTTGAGATGGGGAGGAAGGGAGGGTGACTTGGCTGGTACGTTGAGAAAGGGGGAGGCAGGGTGCGGGGAGAGGGGAAGGGGGAGCGTGAAGAAAGCGCCCAAGCTTAGATGAAAAGCCGTGATTGCTACGGATCAGCCCATGTGCCTGGGAGGGCGCTGGAATGACCGGAGCTTGAAGCCTGCCCCCGAGGCAGCAGGTCGCAGCTCTACACACCCCAAAAATGGGTTAAGAGTCTGGCGCCCTTAAGCGAAATACTCGCTGGGACTGATGGCGCTGAGCAGTATGCAAAACATGCATTCTGCTTTGCGAATTCCCGAATGCAGGAAGCGCCATATGACCAGATGAACTGCGGCCTCTATTGGACCTCAGATTTCAAGGTCTCGACCCAGAGAAAATTTGGCGACGAGCAACGTGTTACTTCTGCTGGATGCTACTCAAGGTAGTATTTGTGCAGCAAGCTTTTGGAATGTGAGCACTGAAAAGCGCAAGCCACGGATATTTTGGCCCGCACATAAACAAGTCTTGCTGCCAAGCCGGCAACACGCAAGCTCGCAACGACAAGTATCGCCCGTCGCGGGACTCTTCATATCGAGCAGATATTGGAGCTGCGCTGCCACCTGCTGTAAGATGCAGCATGATGTTCTGATGACGAATAAGGTCGAGCTGATGCAGCTTGTGTGGATGATAACCATGGTGACGGATCCGACATTAGCAGTACCTGGTATGTGTTCAGGCTCACCATTGACCCCACATGTCCGGGTAGCGATGCTGAGATGACATACAGTCTAGGATTGACTACAATATGCACGAATAAACACGGATACATGCGAAACAACCCGACATGAATGTATTTGCCAATAGATCACTTCGCATGAAAGATGAGGAAAAAGATTGTTGATGGTCATCATGGATGGGCTTCACGTGAAAGAAGCACTATTCAATTTCGAAGAGGAGTGCAGGTTTGAATGCAAAGTTTGTCGGTGCCGGATGTCACGCGCAATGCAGCACAGACGATTTTGAGTTATAAAGATTGGATCCAATCCGACGCCCCTTCTCAAAAAATCTCACTTGAACCCGGGTCTTTGCATTGTTTTTTTTCCCTCACGTTTGCATTTTCTTCAGCCGCGAAGCTTTGGCTCAGCTTGAGGCCGATTAGTCCCGACTGAGGAAAGGTTCCTGCAAGGGGGAGCAAGGATTGGAGGAGCTTGCAGGGGGTACCTAAAGGAGGCGCTTCAAGTCCAGGTCCTATACCAAGAAGGATGGAAGCATAAGAGACAAACCGGATTGTTAGGTAGCCATAAAGCATGATGAAATCTGGAGAGCTGTCCTCCTTATCCTAGTTCGGGCCGTGCCATGTGTGATCCGCTCGGGCCTCTGTCTTCGTGCTTTTGAGTTGAGCTTCTGGAATCATCCCATTCCAGTGCTGCCGCTGCCTGTAATCAGGTGACAGCAGGGTGACTTTTTGTTGAATGCCGCAGTTCGAATTTGTCGCAGCGATGACAGAACAGCTGCAGACCAAACCAACACAAGAAGAAAGAGAAGGAACACGTAGTCAGACAGACGTTCAGAGTTACCAACAAAGAATAAACCACATTTTTCTGATGTCAGTTGTGTTCACAACTGGCAACAGCCGCTGTTGCATGATTAGTTCTGTAGAGGCCTTCAAGTCATCCGACTGCCTGATTGTACCAGTCACAAGCCTGGCATACGTATGGCAGCTCTTCCTCCGAGGTTATCGCTTTGGCCCTTCTCCCGGGCCGCACCGTTCTGTCGGCCACGATGTTCTGGCCTAAACTTGTCCAGTTGCTGACTGTCGCCAGATGTCACCTGCAGAATTAGTTGCGAATTCCTTGTCTTGATTGTATCCAACCCATGCAGAACGGTGTAAGAAGAGCACGGAAACCGGTTCCGTTAAAAAGGACACCAGTCTGTTGTAAGATCTTTGTTTTTGCCTGCCACATGTTTGGGGAGGGTAAGCCCCAGTACTCAACTCTTAAATACCTACATATCTAAATGTTCCATGCTTGTTTGTTTCTTTGTGCCGGACCTGAAAGCTCCCTTGCCCGAGGTCATCGCTTTCTGGCTTGCTCCGGGTCAGGGGAGGTGCCAGCCACCAGCTACTAGCCATTTGGGGTGGTTTGGTTTATAGGGTCCAGGCAGGAAAGACGGATGCATAATATCTAAACAATTGCACAATCCCTTCATGATCCCCATGCTTTAGAACGACGCTGGAATTTGATTTCAAGGTCCAGTTAAAATCGATTTTAGGTCATGCTTGCAGCAATTTGGGCTTCGGATATTGGGTCACCTGAAATCGACTTTAAGTGGTTCCTGTAAAATCGATTTCAACCTCCCATTCCCCCATTTCTCCAGCTTCCAGACACTTGAAATCGATTTTAAGTGTTTTGCTCAGAAGGTGGGCCTTGAAACCAAGTTTAAGCTTATATCCTATGGCAACACTTAGAATCGATTTCAAGTCTTCCTCGTACGAGAGATTCTCATGTACACCTTAAAACCAATTTTCAGGTTATACGCCATGGTAAATACGTACAATCGATTTCAAGTTATCCTCATGCAAGAGTTTGTCCTGTAGGTCTTAGAACCAATTTTAAGCTTATAGTCCATGTTACATACTTACAATCGACTTCAAGTTCTCCTATCGTAAGGGTTTAGTCTTCAAACCAAATTAAAACCTATATTGCTGATGTCCTACACTGTCTTCACTTTGACAAGATATTCGGTTCGAGTAACAAGACATGGTCCCTTTTCCAACCTAAAGGGCCCCCTAGACAATGCCAGCTAAATAAGATGGATTTCCAGGAGAATTCCGTTTCCAAAGGGCCCCTATGAAACGTCAAGTAACAGCAAAATACACGCACGTGGGGTCTCTTCCAAACTTAGCAGCCCCTGAACAATGCCAGTAAAAAGTGAAGTTGACTTCTAGGAGGGTTCCTTTGCAAAGGCCCCTACGAAATCCCAAGCAACAAGAAATGACTTACACATCGGGTCCCTTTCAAACTTCTACGCAATGCCAGAGAACAGAAGATTTCTGGGAGAGTTCAATTTCCAAAGGGCACAAAAACATACATGCACGTCGAGCCCCTTGCAAACTTAAAGGCCCCTGAACAGCGTCAGGTGAAAAGGAATTGTCTTTTGGGAGAGTTCCTTTGCAAAGGCCCCACACACACAACATCCCGAGTAACGCGAAATGACATGCAGGTTTGGTCCCTTTCAAGCCTAAAGGCCTGTTTGAATGCCAGGTAAAGAACATTGACTTCTGGGAGAGTTCCCTTTGATAAGCCCGGAGGAACAACAAACCTTGAGCAGAGGTCCGTAGTTTGCGCACAAAGGACCAAAAAGCAGCTCCGCTAGGGAGAAACAAGAAGTGGTTGCCACTAGTAGCAATGAGGAGCATGTGCAAG